CGGCTCCGAGCGGGGAGCGGGCACAGCGGGGAAGGGACCGGTGTTTTCCCGTGGTTAAAGATGCTGAGTGGTGCTGCCGCTGTCTTGATAGAGGGAGTTAGGTTGTGTTTCCTACGCTAGCTGTTTACAAATATTTAAGAGCGCTCTGTGGTGTCTCTGTGGTTTTTGTTTTCCTTTTTCCCAGGAGTTATGCTTGTGGTCAGAGTTAAGGTGACAGCCAGCGTTTGGAGAGGAGGGCATGGCATGTGGGGTGATGGGCTGTGGATGTGAATGAGGTAATGTGGAAAATCAGAATGCATGGTTGTGGGTTGCAAAGGCTGAGTGAAAATCTAACTTGTGATTTCCTAGTTCTCCCGTGGCTATAACTGTATGCAGCCTTGCGTGTATTTTCAACAGCTTTGTCTGCTGTGGGGAGTTTTCTGGCTTCTTTGTTTGTTCTGTATGTGAAAAAATGTTAGAGACGGCTGCTCTTCCCTGTGTGTTCTGACACTTCTCACTGGTATGGGCAGCAAGCAAAGAAGGGGGAGAAGTAGCAGCTCAAGTGCCGTGGCTGTGTTCATTTACTCCCGTAGACCTCCCTGTGCCAGCTTTGCATTCCTGCCTCTTGCTGGAAAAAGGGTTTACAATTGTGTTAGATGGACCTGCTCACTTCTGAGGCAGCGGATCATTCTGGCTGGCTTCTTAGGATTTGCCAGAGGACATGACCAGGCTGTTACTCCTGAACCAGGTTGGCTTGGGATCACAGATTAGACAACCTAAGACTTATTGAGCAGGCTGCAGAAGAAGGGGATCACACATGGTGCCCCAGGGTCTTATCCAAGATGCTCTTCCTGGTGAGGAGCAGACACAAGTGTCCTGGCTGTGAGCCCTCCCCGTGTCTTCTCATTGTGTAACCTCTTCTCGTGCTCACCCTTTACCCCAAAAGCACAGTCCTTAATGCACTAAAAAATGAGAAAAGTGGTGGAAAGCGGTATTTCTGGTCTTTTAGATACAGCTTAAAGGTCACCTGAAAGATGTGGGGTGCTGAGACTTGAGTGGGTGTGCTAAGGCTTTGTGTGCCGGCCGGGTGAGCAGAGCCAGCGGCAGCGCCAGGTGTCTTTTGGGTTCACAGTCTCCTCGGGTTCAGACAGTGCTGTGCTGCTTTCTCAGCAGTCCTTGCTTGTTGCTTGTCCTCTTCCTAAGCCTCATCTTACTCCTGCAGGTGGACTAGCATAGCTGCTTCCCGGGCTTTGTAGGCTGTGAGCGGGGCCGAACCAGGGACCACACCGATCGTGTCTGGAGAAGCAGCGTAGCTGGCGGCGGGAGAGGCCGTCTCGGAAAGGGGAGGGGGCCTTCCCCTTGTTAAAGTTTAGAAATAACTTGGGATGGCGTTGAGGTGAGTGCTGGAGGAACTCTGTTTAATGCAAGGAGAAAAGGAGGAGTGTTTGAAAATGCCTTCTCTGCAGAAATCGGTAGCAGTCGTACATGGAAAAATTGCTCGGCCCTCTCAGGAGTTACTGTACTGAATTTGAAAAACAGAACGGGTCTTTAAAGTACAAAACAAAGGGATTTCAGCCTTGCTTTAAATGTAAATCTCAATGCAGTCTGAACTGTGGACTCGCTGCTGACGCCTCCATAGCACATATTAATCCAGTTTTATCTGTCATGAGGAGATTTGTTGATTAGAAGCCTCTAGGTAAAGGCTGCTCATGGACTAGTGCTGCTCTTCCAGCCTGTGGGCTGGAAAAATGAGTTCAGTTCCATGGCTTGCCTGGAGCTCTTGGGCTGTGTGTAATTTCACTGCCACCATTCTCCCAAGATTCAATTTAGCTCTCTGCACCAAGTCCATTTATGTAGATTTTGTGCTAAGATGAATAACTTTCAGAGGAAATGGGCCTTTTTAAAAAAGTTATATAAGTTAATTTGTGGCACTGATGATGAAAAGTCAGCATCATTTGAAATGGGAGGGAAGGAACAGTTTACTGAAATGACACTAAGCTGTTAATTTTGTTTGTCTTGATAAAGTTTGTCAAGAATGGGAGGATTTTTCTAAGAAATTCAGTGAAATAATGCCACTTTTTAAAACAGTGAATTCTGTGTCCTGTAAAGGGTTACCTTTAAGTGATTGTTGTCATTATCCATGTTCCTTCTTGTATCTTTGAGTGTAGACAGTACTTGATTGATTTTTCTGCAATTAACTATTCTTTCTGAAAAGCAAACTGTGCTTCTAAAATATGTAGCTCTTAAATGTTTACAGTTTCAGCCTGTGTTCCAAAGTGTGTAGTTTATTAGCTCTTAAGCTCACCAGCAGCTCCTTGAGGTAGCTGCTCGAATCTAAACTGCAATTACTGTCCCTTCTGCTTTACACATACTAGCACACATATCAGGAATGATATGTTCAGCTGGTGTTTGGGGGTTTTGTATGATTTGGGTTATTTTTTTTTTTCCTGGGCTCCATCTCTCTTCCTGAAGAGATTGACTGTAGGTATCCCGTTGCTGCCACGTTTCTGGAAAGTTTCTGCTGGCTTCCTGATTTTATTTTTCTGTAGTAGAGTTAAATTAGAATTCCACAGCAAAAGCCTGGTCTTCCAGATGCCTCCTGAATAGAAGTTGGGCTCTGCTTGTTTTATCTGTATGTTCGACTGCTTGAAGAAAAGGCTCATATTGAGAAGAAACCATCAAAATACCCAAACCATTTTTTTTTTACAATATTTTTTTTGTTTTACAGTGTGCAAAAGGACATACCACAAAAATAATTTCTCTCTGAGTTTTACTTCTTATAACCAATCTCCCAGTGCCCCATAGCAAACATATTTGCTTGCATTGCAGTTTTGGAGGAAGGGGAGTTGCACAGTATTAAAATGTTTTTTCCCCAGTGTGTGCAAATCTTTCTGGTTTTTAGGTTAGTACTGTGTGTTTTCTCAAGTCCATTGTGATAGTAGAGCCAGAGCAATGTTAGCAGACCTACTCAATGTTTTAGTTCTGTCACTTTCTCAACCAGCTATAAATTACATGCTTTAGACTTTATCGATTGGTGGTTTAGTGTAATGCACTAATACTGGAAATTATCTGCTTGTGGCTGTGAAAGCCACCATAGAGTGAGGAAGTGTGTGTGTGTGTGAGATCTTGGAATTCTCTGAGGAGTTTATTAGTTGTGGTATAACTGGATAAGTAGTTTATGAAGTTGGAACTTGTGCAAATGTTTTTTCCTGCCTCCATAAGGGCTGAGCACTGCAGCGATCTGTCTGTTGGGAGCCTTTAAGCACAATTGTTGTATTACTGAGTAGTGTTTCATGTCTCAGGTGTCAATGACAGGCAGCCTTGTTAGCAAATGAAACAGGCAGGTGAATTCAAACTAAGGTTTTTTAGCTATCTATGTTGGAATCCATTAGTATTTTTGCTTTGTCTGCAGCTGTTGCTGCCATAATTAGGATCAGCAGAGGCATTAGAGCCTTTTCATGTGAAACAGGTAAAACTCTAGAAATATTTAGTTCTTAAATACTTTCACTCACCCAGCTTCATTAGTCCTCTGGGGTTCTGTGAAGCACTTTCCTTCTTTGCTTTCCTTTTACAGTCCTCCACACTTTCTATGGGGGGAAAAATGATGCGGCAATTAAGAAGAGTTGAAACTGATGAGATTTTTTCTTCAGGGAATTGAATATTCCGTAATTCTTCAAAATGTGTTTTGTGATCGTTTTGATCTTAAGATATAAAAGAGAATTGAGTAGAAGCTGTGAGGGATATTGACTGACATTCTTGGGAACAAACATGAAGTAGGAATGTTGAAAATAAGCTGGCTGTTTGAATAATCTTTTTTTTAGGTGCATCACAACTATCTGCTGATTTGGTTTTTTTCAAAAATATTTACATTAAGTTAACAAGTCAAAAAATATCTTTTGTCCCTTATTCATGTCTCTGGGTGTCCTTGTAATGAGAGTTAAGAGATGCTGTTCACTGAGTTGACAGCCTTGTGGAAAGATGGGTGGTGGGACAGTGCTGGGTGTTTGGGCTTTGGTGCTCATCTTCTCTCTGATTTTGCTGTTCGCAGGTTCTGTCAACCGTGATGGCGTCAGCTCTACCCAGAACCCTTGGAGAATTGCAGCTGTATCGAATACTACAAAAAGCAAATCTCTTATTCTACTTCGATGCCTTCATTCAGCAGGGTGGTGATGATGTCCAGCAGCTCTGTGAAGCAGGTGAAGAGGAGTTTTTGGAGATAATGGCTCTCGTAGGCATGGCTAGCAAGCCACTTCACGTCCGACGGCTGCAGAAGGCTTTGAGGGACTGGGTCACAAACCCTGGCCTTTTTAACCAGCCTCTCACCTCCTTACCAGTCAGCAGCATCCCTATATATAAGCTGCCAGAAGGGTCTCCTGCGTGGCTGGGGATATCCTGCAGCAGTTATGAGAGGAACAGCAGCACCAGAGAGCCTCACCTGAAGATTCCGAAATGCGCTGCCACGACGTGCGTGCAGAGCGTGGGCACGAGCAAATCTGATGTGGGGAGCTTATCACTGCAGAGCAGCAGCGAGCCCAGACTCTGGCAAGGACACCACACCACAGAGAGTGAGCACAGCCTTTCCCCGGCTGACCTTGGCTCTCCAGCCTCACCAAAGGAAAACAGCGAGACCCTGGATGCTGCTGCTGCTCTGTCAGTTGCTGAGTGTGTAGAACGTATGGTTCCCTCCCTGCCCAAAAGTGACTCCAATGAAGTCAAGGAGTTACTGAAAACAAATAAGAAACTGGCAAAGATGATTGGTCACATCTTTGAGATGAGTGACGATGACCCTCACAAAGAGGAGGAGATCAGGAAGTACAGTGCAATATATGGCAGATTTGACTCAAAAAGAAAGGATGGCAAGCATCTCACCCTCCATGAGGTAAAACAGCTTGAGTGGAACTGGGCTTCCTCCCCTATTCCTACACCTTTGACAAGATGTGTTTACAGGGTACACTTCTTGTATGGGCAGTTCTTGCTGAGTGATGAGAGTTGTGTCTGAAGATAGTGTGTTGAGTGCTGAAGGCAGTCCTGGCCTGACATGGAAATCTCAGGTGCAGGGAGTCTCCTTTTGTGAGTGGGTGTGGGTGTGTGCGCGTGGTGATTTCGACTTGGTGTCATCAGACTGCTCGGTCGCTGGTGTGGCCTTTCAGACAGAAGGTTTAGAAAGTTTGGCACCACAGCAGCAATCAGTATTGCACTGAGCATGGCCTTGGGGATTCTAAGGATTTGGTACATTCTTAAAGATGTCCTGTTGGGGTATTTCCTTGCATCTTTGAGAGTAGACTTGTTTGGAAGATCAGTAGGTAAAATTGGTTGTGTCTGATGTGGTTACTACCCTCTGCTGTCTTCCTTCACCTCAGGACTCTGCTCTGTAGCTTGTACACTTGAGATAAAAAGGGTTCCATCAATGAGGTCCCTAAACGCAGAGGCATGGATTTTTTTTGTTGTTGTTGTGTGAATTGGAATGAAGCTCAATTATACAACCTGTGATAATTTTTGGGCTTAGTGGTCTCAAGCCTGTCAAGTGACATGCAGTCTGTGTGAGGAGGAAGGGAAAGGACTGTCTCCAGTATTGATGGGTGGTTGTAATCTGAATGTTTGTCTTTTAATCCCTGAGTAGCTTCTCTTCCCTCTTGTCTTTGAAAGTGCCTGTGGGCCTCCCTTGCTGCTCTTGTGGCATTCCTGAGGCTCATGCTGCATGTGTTGTAACGCAATAGGTGTGTTTGTGTGGGGAGTAGTTTCCTAGTGCCAAAGTACTGTATGAGAGGAGAACAAACATTAATTCAAAGCAGTGCCAAAACACTGTTGATACGAATGCTGCATCAGCATTTTCACAGTTAACAGTGATTGCAAAATTTCAGTTGGATTTAAAATTTGGCATGTAAGGCTTAGCTCCCAAAAGGAAAGGCAGTGTTTATGTTACAGGAGTGCCAAAAAAACTGTACTGGCTTTAGCCTTTTTTCGCTTCAAGAAGAAGTTTTGTAGGTGTGTGATCCATAGCATGAGACTGAGTTCTCTTTATGTTTCTGAGTAGAAGGGCAGAAGGAAACAAGGCGTATTTCTTTACATTTTCGTTTACTTATTTACATTTATAAGGCAACTGCACATCACCGGCAGTGACTTGACAAGGGCTTTTACTGCAGACTGGGGAGACACTTCCACAGTAGTCAGCCACATTCCTACCACACAGTTCTAGTTGTGCAGCTTGCACTTACAAGCTCTGAGGCTTTATGTCAAACACTTACAATCTATGAATTCATCCACTGCACAAGACAAGATCTCATCTTAGTCCCCTGACTTTGTGGAAGTCTCCCTCGTAACAGAACAAGTTGTGTATGAGATGGAGGCAAGATTTGAAGGGATTAATTGTGTAGATGGCCTGTGTACATGGCTGCAGATTCAAGATTCAGAGTAAGGGGGTTCTCCCCAGCTGAGGATGGAGGCAGTCGAGGTGTACAACACTGTGCAGGCTTTCACAGCCTCTCTCTCGGGTAGTGACTGCAGAAAATGCTCTGAAATCTGGACAGACTACTTGCAGGATAATTTTCTGGAATCCAGCAGTGTACTGGAAGGTGTGCTCCCGGGGCACCTTTTGTGTAGGCTCAGGAGTGGCTCTGCAAAACTAGGGGAATGAACTCTGGGGTAGTAATTGAAGGAGCGGGATAGCAGTGAACTAGATGAAAGGACAACTGCTCTGCCTTGTTCATTTCTTCAGTATTGCACTACAGATCTTTACTACATCACTGTAAAACCACGTTTAAAAATGGAATGAGAGCATGGTTTGGTGTTAGGAAATATTTCTATCGCTATTGTGATTAAGGGCACAAGATCAAAGGAGTCTATGGTTGACTTATGCCTCACTTACGCATGTGGGGCCTTGCTGAACTTGATGGGAACTGCACACATGCAAGCAAGAAGAATTTGCTCGTAATTAGTTTACTGCTGGCTTAAAGAGGATGGATTTCACAAAGTTTTGTCTTGAACAGTTTTGTCTTCATTTTCTGTGTGAGGCAGAAAATAAATAGCAGCAATGAGACCATTTTCTTTTGTTCAAAATCTGCTAAACCAGAGTTTGCCTTTCGTAAACTCAGCCTCAGTGTGTTTGGTTCTGATAGCTTAGGCAATTGGCTGCTCAGATGGAAGGACCTTAAACAACCGGGGAGGTAAGTTTCTGCAGGTCCAGAGACTGTTTTTCTGCACGTGTTAATACATTCCAGAGCTGTCACTTTGCCTCACAGTTCAAGGTCTCTCCTTGCAGCTGGAAAGGAACAGCTGAATAAACTTCACTGTGAATTAAAAAGGCTTAAGTAGTGGTTAGCCTTTTAATGTAATGATTGGGGTATCTCTGGCTCCTCAAGCACAGAGAAGTTGCATGCAAATTAAAATCAAACCTGGTGGAATTATTAGTGGTGAATTAGTGAGACTATTTCGTTTCAGTGTGAGCACTGAAGTGTCTCATAGGGCTGGAGCAGCCATTAGAGGGCTGTGAGAGCTGCAGACACTGGGCTGGTTTGAAAGTGTGTGCTCCTGGTAGGAGTATCTGCACAAAGCATAATTCTGACAAAATCTTTCAAAACCTTCAAAACTAATACTAAAACTAATGAACATGCTGTCCTTAATCCATCCCATTTTTTCAGTATTACACAGCTTTTCAAACACAGAGAGCACTTAATGTTTAAAGTTGGACTGGAGGAGGGATGAGTACAAGGCATTCCCTTGAACTTGGTGACCCCTGCAAGTTTGAGTCAGATTTCTAATTTGCATTTTAATATTTCAGTGCTTGTCTCAGTACCTACAAAACAGGAAAAAAAAAAAAAATCCAGTTCAGTAGAATTAGAAAAACAAGTAATGAATTTTGTCTAGCTTGGTTTCTTCCTTTTCTTTTGCTGACTCACCAAAACTGTAGGGCTTGGTATTTAATTATGTGGTTTCTAGTGGGGAGTCTGTGAACCCCATCAGATGGAAATATACCCGTCCTTCTCCTGTATGTTCTGTGCTGCTCCATATCCTTCATGCTTCCAGCAAACAGAGTCTTTATTTTTAGGCAAGCAGCACTTTGTATCTGCAGTATTATGCCTTCTGAAAAGGCAGGAAGCCATGATGCTCTTCAATTCAGTAAGTTTGAATGTGACCTGAAAGAGAAACCAGGAAAAACAAGCAAATAAACATTTGGCTTTTCTCACATATTAGGATAAACAGCATTTGCCTACAGCTACCAAAAGCATTTTCAGTCATTTCAGTTCTTCGCAACCTTTCAGCACTTGGAGAGATAAAAAATATCTCAAATTATTTTGGAAGCCATATTATTCATCCTTGGCAAAGTAATAGCTATCAGTGTTACAGAAATTACTGCCTGCTTTGGATGGTAATTCTTTTAATTGGTGTTGTATTAATCTTATATTGTGTCCTTTTCCCCTCTGTGTTTCTTTCTGAAAAGACAGATGTTGTGGAACAACTGTTCCTGTCTAAGGGGTAATAGTTCAGTTTTTTAACATCTCGTAGTGTAGGAACATAGTCACCTGTTAGTGCCCTTGTACATCTGATCTCGGTGAGATTCGGGGTTTTTGTCTGTGCAGAGACTAAAGGATTGGGCAGCATATCTAGTTGCCTGTTAAAAACAAATATGTGCTCTGATTAACATTTAGGTACAGTAGGAAGTGCCCAACTGAGATCAGAGGCTTTTAGGCAAAACACAGGAAAAATTGCTTCTGAAATATTAGGAGCAGCAGTTCTGTGTGAGGTTTTACTAGAAATCCTGTACAGGCTGCTGAGAGAAGAATCTCAGCTCTTCTTGATACATGTTTTTTTTGTTTTTTCAACCTTCCTGGAGAACAGTTGTCACATTGGGCAAAATGAATTTTTGATAGTTTGGATGCCACCAAGCCCCATGGCGAAGGACAGCGTGGTTGTGTATTGTTCATGTCATGTGTCGGCTTCCATCCTGCAGGGACGGAGCGTGCAGCCATTGGGATGAGCTGCTGGCCTGTGTGGTTTAATTCACAGGTAACCCTGCTGTGTGGCAGACAGCAGGGCAAAGGGGTGAGTTCTTGGCCTTCTCCCAAGAGACACCCTGTAACTGCAGAGCTGCTGGTCTGCGGGAGCAGCGGGTTTGGTGTCTGAGGTCGCACGTGTGCTGTGCTCAGCTGCTCCTGGGGCTGCCAGATGGAGGGTCAGGGATGGCACATTCCCTTCTTCATGGATCTGCTGACTGTGCTGTGGGAGCTGCTCTGCAGTATTCACTAGCCTGGGACAGGTACAGAACATACTGTTGACAGTAGCTCCAAAGCAGCTGTGCTCCTTTGGCAGAAGCCAAGCCTGTTCAGCTTAATTTCTAAAAGTAAAAGAGTAGAAAGATTTGTGGGCACTTGGTCAAAACACCTGTAGTATTCTGTTGGCCTCTTGCTGTTATGCCTCATTACACGTTCTGGCTGTTCTTCAGCTGAGGAAAAAGTGAGAAAGCCTCTTCAAGCCCTGCTTCCTGTGGAAGGAGCTTGGAAAAGCCTGTCCAGCATCTTGATTTGTGTCTCTCACGGCATTAATAATGTTGTGTCCATACTGCTGTCCATAGGCTTCTTAGACAACAGTGTTTTTAAGGTGATACAATTCATGACAATATCATCACTTCCTGTAGGCTTCTGAAGAGCATTGCAAAACCATTTCGAGCCTAAATTTCAGGCTTTTTTTCCCCCTCACTTCTTTATGAATCTTTTGCCAGCAGCAGAGGCACTAGAAATGTGTCCTGGCAGGCTCAGGAAAACATCCTTGAAACAAGTTACATTTGATTCATGTCTGAAGATAGTCTTCACAAACACGAGGGTGAGAAACATAGCTAAAAAAAGTTTATAATCGTTTCTTAAACCATCACCTTCTACAGAATTTATTCTGTATTCACCAGGGAAAGCCATCTGTACCCACACTGTCAGGGTGGTTGTTTTTTTTTTTCCCAAGTCCTGGGCATATTGCATTTATAAAAATAGTATTCCCTGTAAGCCAGGCTTTGGGAGCCAAACACTGTGAACGTTCAGAGCTACTGTTTTATACCGAGATTTAATTAATGCTGGGATGAAGCAAAAGCAGCGCACATTGAGACAGTCTTACAATTGTGTTTTACTTTATGCACCAACTACATTCATATCTTTCCTCTTCCCAAAGGCTTACCTGGTTTAGTGAGGGATATAAATAAACTGAAGAAACCCTCCAGGGTTTAGTGTATGATTATAGGTAATTTTACTTGCCATCAAAATTCTTTATTATTTCAGAAGAGGCACTTTTACAAGTACAGCAGGTGAAAGTATGCAAAATCCTGAGTGCCTGTTTGTTTGATTTGCAGCTAACAGTTAACGAAGCAGCTGCCCAGCTGTGTGTGAAAGATAACGCCTTGTTGACCAGGAGGGACGAGCTCTTCGCGCTGGCCCGGCAAATCTCTCGGGAGGTCACCTACAAATACACCTACAGGACCACCAAGTAAGGCTTTCATTAGCTCAGAGGGAACTTTCAGGGAGCTAAGCGGGCTGGTAGCATTTCTTCTGAAGCACTTGAGACACTTTCTGCTTGCTCTTCAGTTAGCAAAGTGCTCTTCTGAGGAAAGGAGGGAAATGCTGTTTGAGTCCTGAAGCTTTTAAACTGATAAATTCAGCTGTCTTGAATTACCTTTTTACTTGCTCTTTAGTTTTCCAAGTATTTTGAGTATAGTGCATATTAAGAGGCATTTGAGAGGCTGGTATTTAAAGCTTTAGTGTGTTTTGAGGTTAATGTAAATTGGCAGAGTAGTCAGAGATGCTCAATGCATCAGTTTCCTTTTTTCCATATACAGATTTGGCTTGTTTGCCAAAAAGATAAGGTCACAGGGAGTGGCTTACAAGCTTGCTTTAAAGGAACTGAAGCTGAGTCCTAATTTCAGTTTTTACTGTTCTGTCAAATGAAGTGCTGTTATGAAATGGTGACAAAGGCTTAACAGCTTTTAAATACAATTAAAACCTTAGCATTAGTAAGTATGATTGTCTTGATATTTTCCTTAGATTTTTAAATGTTGATTACCTTGCCAGTCCTTTAAAAGTACATTTTGCTACCCTTCTAGAAAGTTTTCTTTTGCTCCCCTTTCTTCCATAGAGATTCATATAAATATACATCTATCCTGGATAAGCCAAGGGCATTTCTGTAATTCTCTGTGCTTTTCTTCCTCTTTGGAAGGAAGAATCTATTCATGCTTCTGAAAACAACACAAAATGCTTGTGTTCCTCTGTACTTGAATGAATTTCACTACCATGTCAAAGTGAACTGGAGGCTTTTTTTGTGCATCTCACTTGTTCCTCCCTGGTCTGTTTTTTTTTCCTCAACTCCTTTTCATTATTATTGATAGCTGGGGTTAATATGCTGTTTACTGATCATATATGTGTCTTCTCTTGTAGATCTAAATGTGGAGAAAGGGATGAGCTGTCACCAAAGAGAATCAAGATAGAGGTACAGTAATGTGACTCCTGTATTTTGACCTGTGCGTGCTAAAATACAGTTTTGTTTTGAAGGGATCTGTCTTAAGGAAATTTGTCAGAAAAATATTTGATAGACAGTTGATGGGTATGAGAGCGAGAGAGGGTGGGAGAACATCACCACTGTCTTTGTAGATTTAAGTGCTTGATGGAGAAACCTGTAGGAGCAGGGGTAAGGAGTAGGATTTGTTTAATGGTAAAGCTACTCTCAGTGTTTTGCACTCAGAGTGAGTGGGAGGGGAGGAATGGGACTGACTGACTTCCTGTGGTGGAATAAGCTCGAGCACTGTAGGAAATGTCTTCCCATAAGGCCTGCTGCTTTTCAGTCAGCATGAGGTGGGGTTTGCCTAATTCACTGGAGTCAGCTGTTGATCATGTCTAAAATGCAGAGTTCTGGATAAGGATTGATGGCAGAATATTAACCATTTCTGACTGTGCCATAAATTGACACCGATCATATTGAAGAGTCAAGAACGAACTAAAAGCTGTATGTCTCAAGATAAAAGGTTGTGCCTGGAGATATTAATTTACAGGTTTCTTAATGAGTTTTGTGTCAAATGCATGTATACATGGCAAATGTATACACTTGCACAAGATGTTGCTTAGGGAGATGCTGAGAATTGCTTGTTAAGAGTACAGGAGCAGCATGTATGTAGTTTACCTTTTTCTTCAGTTACCACTACTGGAAGGTAAATTTGAGGCCTTTTTAAAGTTACTTTTAACCAAAAAAAAGGAAAGAAGTAAAATGTGCATATATATACACCTATGTACCTCATGAGAATAGCAGATCTTTCTTTTTAATATGTATTTTAAATTATTGTTTCAATGTTATGTGGATATCTAATTTATCCTTAGCATTGTGGGTGGTTTTTATGGTACTGTCTACTCAAAAAGGTTAAATTTGTTTTAGAATATGAGCTAAACCTGAGCTAGATTTGTATGTGGCACAGATAGGTGATGTATTCTCTAACTGTAGAGGAAAATTGCAGCACATTCTGAGATGTGTTTTTCATATGCAGTACTTCTGTGATAAATGATGCACTATATTAAGTAAGGCTTTAAATTTTTTTCGGTACTGCAATGCTTTCACCTGTACAGAGGCTTTTTCTGTGAGGCAAACCCTGGTAAGAGCAGTTAGTTTTGAAAAGGCAGTCTTGCATAGGTATGTTCTTTGATCTGCAAAAAAGACCAGGGAAAAGCTGCATTAAATGATTTTATCCAGCTTCACCATTATCAGCCTTGACCAACATGTTGCAAGATGCTTGTTTGAATCGCCTCTCTTTTGTTCAGTCCAGCCCTAATTTGTAAGAGCTGGTGGGAAGCTGCCACTTCTCTGCTTGAAACAGTATTTCAATGACTTAGATTTCAGCATTAGGAAGTTTTTCCTTCATTTAGTAATAAGTGATGATAAGCAAGTGTCTAAAATACACACTGCAAGGGAGGTGCTGTTTTTTACAGGATCTTCATTGAAAGAAAGTGTAAAATTAAAACCCTGAAAAACACAAGCTGAAATTCAAGGCTTTCTGGAGAGTAGGAAATCTGGACAGCCTTTAGGGGATGTGTATTCTCCTATTTTCTGCATGGTGAAATTTTAAACAGTCTGGAAGGCCTGCTTCTTTCATACCCTTTATAGCTCAATAATTCTGAGAAAGGATATTCACTTGGTTCTTGTTTTATCTAAAATTACCAGTTACATTTTAAAACGCTTGGGAAAACTTATTGTCCTAATGACAATTCTTGTGCAAATGACCATTTCAGGAATAGGTCATTTTTCCAAAATAAGAAATTGAAAATTAAATTAAATTAAATCTTTAGTCTGATAGCATAGTATTATTAATTTCAAGTTACCCGTATTGTTATCAGTAGAAATGTCTTTTCCCCCCCCAACTTTGAGAGTCTTCTCAGGAGCAGTAAAGCATTACTTCAGTGCATTTTAAATTTGACATACACTGTAAATTTTTGGGCTTTACTTCAATGAAATGTGAAAAAGATACAGTATGACATAGTAGATCACTGCTGTTTTGGGTCTCTGGTTCTTGCATTTAAAAAAAATGTAAAAAGTCCCTTTTTTAGTAATATGCTTAGGGATTTTTTTGGTTTTGTTTTGGTTTTTTATGGAAAGGTGAAAGTAAAAATGAAAATGGTAGCAAATGCAGATTTTTCCTTCTGTTCTGGGTAAGAATTCGTTACACTGTTTTTGAAGTTGTAATGCTTCTTTGTGGATCTGTTCGCACACTATCATGAAAATACAGAAAGGACCTGAACATGAGGCCTATTTTTTGTTGTTATAACTAGCTCTTTCATGTTTTTCTTTTTCCCTTTTTTTTAATTTTTTGTGAGAAGAGTCATTTTGCCTTTCTGTTTTAAGGCTGAACTCTGTATTTTGATTCACCATTCCTTTAACTATTAGTCATTAATGTCTCTGTGAAGCATGGCCTAGAATTACTAGGGCTTCAGACTGGAAAGACTTCACAGCCTGTTTGCATAGTGTAAAAGATTACTTAAAAAAAAGATGAGTTAATTTCCTGAAATATAATAACACTTAAAAAAGCCTCCAGAGAGGCTCTGAAGGTCATCCTTGAGCAGAGCCAGCAGAGCTGTGTGCAAGCTGCAGCATTGTCAATCTGCAGCCACATTGTAAATTTATCCTTTTCATGAACATGAAACTTACACAAGCATTACAAAGAAACAATGTGCCATGAATTACATCAAATTACCTGTAAAAGCCTTTCTCTTCCCCTGTGAGCTCTCCCCCTCTTATTCGTCGGGTGGGTGGGTGAGCTGTGGGAGTGAAGTGTAAAGAGGAGAAGGGGAAAAAATTCCAGGCAAATGACAGACTAAAGGTGTGGAGGGAGTGAAAAAAGGGGTGGAGTGAACTGGTATTTGGGAGCAGATTATAAAACAGGAGTTGTAGTTCTAAATCCACTCTGGACAAAGAGCGGGACAGGTGAATAGGGATGGAAATTGCACATCCTCCTGCAGAGCACGGATCTCTTCTGTTCAGGTGTTGTGTGGTGAGGGCACCCCTTATTTTGTCATCTTCTGTGACTCAGTGCCAGCACCACTCAAAGCAGTGAGCTGTTGTGGTCCCAGCTTGGGAAGCAAAACAAGTCACAGGTACATCAGGCAGAAGCGGAGGAAGAGGCTGCTCTCATCACTATTGGGGCTGACAAAGTTCCCCTTCAGAGTCTGCATGAACAGCCAAGAGAGGAAAAAAGGAGAGTTTTTAAAAATGTTCTTGCTGTCTGTGGTCTAAAGAAGTTATTTTGTGTGTCTGTGTCTTCATTCATCTCAGCAAGTGGGGTGGGAAGAGCTTTCAAAAATTCATTTCCCACAGCTCGGTGGGAGTCAGGGGGCACAGGCAGGGAGACCTGAGTAGAGGCTCCAAGGAAGCGTCTTCCCTTGCTACCAGTATGGGTGGAGGACGAGGAGAGAAAAGCCCCACCTCCACTATTTCTGAGAAGTCTGTAAAGAAAACCAAAGTGTAGGATTTGTTTTTTTCACAAAAACAGCAAAAGCAGTTGAAGCTACTGTTTTCATAGGAAAAATGTCATTAGAGGGAGCGATAAAGCACATGTGGGACTGGGAACATCTGCTGCACGAAACTGCTTGGAAAACAACTGAGCAGCAGCATGGCAAAACAAAAATGCTGCAGTGCATGCAGCAGGACCTGCGGGCAACCATGGGGCAGAGCAGGTTGGTGCTTGGTGCAGGTTGGTGCTTGGTGCAGCGTGGTTCTCGTCCCACGGGGCACTGGGGACAGCCAGCAGTGAGAAGGGGCTCTGGGAGGGTGATCCAGAACACGTCATCCTGCGGGAGCTGTCTGCCTGACTGAGGGGGGACTGACTCAGCAGCAGGCAGCCAGACCCACCTGTGGGAAATAGCCTGCAGTTTTGTATAGGCAGGTGATCACAAATGTGTTGTGAAGGACTGTGTTACCTGTTTTGTTGCAAAAATAGGATGCTGAACGATAGGGTTTTGTGTGTTCAGCTTCTCATCTTCCTACGTATAATCATTCTCTGCTCCCAGACAAATTTGGATCTTAACTATGGAAGTGGTCAGTACTCAAGGAAATGTGCTGCAAAGCCTTTGTTTCTAGCTTAGGCCAGAGGCTTTGTGGCAGTTAACCTGGCTATGAGGTTTTTGCATAGCTATTGTGTTTATTTGTTCCGTGAGGGAGTATGTTGGGTGTTTAAAAGCAATATGCAGCGTTCTGACAGATTTTAAGGTTTTTTTCCTGAGCGTAAAGAAAAGGTTTAATGGCATTACATTGCACTGAGGTCCTGGCCATCAGCCTTGGGTCAGATCACTGCTCTGCAGGTCAGTGGGCAGCCTGCCAGTGGAGGGAACCTTGTAGTCCTTCCCCTGTGTTTTTTCTGGAAGACCACTTCTATTTCTCTTGGGTTGTAGCCCTTTTGTCCATCTATCGTCAAAAATGTAGTTATTGATGTGTATGTGTCTTTGGAATCTACAAGGCAAGTATACCTAATTCGGTGTATTTTTGAGACCAAGGTCTGCAGAACCTCAGTGACAGATGTCATTGTTCTCAGATTTGGGTCTGTCTTAAGATCTCTGGCTTCCTCTCACATTTTGACAGTTACCTAATACTGTGCTTTTGTAAACATTTCTGGATGTTCCTCTAGTGTACATGAGCTTTCCTTTAATAATACCAAGCTGGATAAACCCCTCATCTTGAACCTTTGCTTCAATGATTATTTTAATGGAGTCTGGCAGGCTTTCACAGGAACTTTATTTGCTTTACTGATACATATGCCAGCTGCAGAAGAGATTTGCATGTCATAAGAACTTCAGACTGGAAGAGTTATGGAATCATGCTTTCCCATAGTCTATAAGTTTTCCACTGTTCTTCTGAAATGGTGATATTTCATTTTGTGATACTAGTGTAGGTTCTGTGTGAAACATGTTGAATTTCAAGAGGCTTTTTTCAGTTTCACAAGGTTAGTATATATCCTTAACTACATATAAACTTGATTTCTGAAAAATTACAGAAACCATAGGCCTAAATCTGCCCATCAAGGCTGAATATAAACTAGTTTAATGGCAGTAACAAGGGTAGTTTGGATTCACCTGAAACAGGGAGATGAGATTTTCTGTGCCATTTTAGGTATATAGCAGTTGCTGTGGAGAGGCTGTTTGTGTTTTATGCACAAACTTAAGTAAAGTGGATAACACAAACATGTAAATTGCAGTCCAGAATTTTCACAGAAGTTCAGGAGTATGATTTTTAGGTTTTTTTTCCTTCTGTGTGTACAAAGAAGGTGAAGAAAAAATAGTAATATGTCCCTCTTGGTTTGGTTTCTTTTTATGCCAAATAGGATGGGTATCCTGACTTCCAGGACACAGTCCAGACACTCTATCAACAGGACAAAATGCCGCTTACTTTGGCTAAAGGAAAGAGTGAAGACCCAACAGCTCTTAATTCCCAGGTAAACCAACTACACTGCATTGTGAATAATACAGGCTTGTGTCTTTGTACATTGGATTTGATATGTTGTTGTTTTGATGATTAAATGAATTCCCATCAATTTTAAAAGGTTACCTAGTTTAGCTGTGATTGCATCACTCTTAATTTGGGTTTACCTCCCGAATCTGTTCTGTCACAGTACTACAGCTTTGCCCTTGTTAGTTCCAAGGAGATAAGATGCAGCATAGTAGGCTTGAAAATCTGTGGTTGCCTGTTGGGAGCAAGTAGGGTAGTATTGGTACAGTCTGTGCTGTGTTACTTGCGTTATCTGCTATAAATGGAAAGCTCAAGTTACTGAGTCGAGAGGAATAGAGTAGGCGATCTTGGAGTCCTCACTTCTGACATGTCTTACAAGAAGAAAGACCAATATGTTTAGGAAAAAAGTGAACCTCTGGATCTGAGAGGATAAATTGGCTTCCTAAACAACACCTAGCCTGGTGGAAGCACAGTGTTCTTGAGCAGACAGAAAGCTTTGTATAAATGAAGACAGGTTGCCAATTCTTTCTTTGTCTTTCCTGTAGTGTATCCCAGCCTCGAGGCAAAATACCCATCTCCTACTGACAGTTCTTGCCAAGGAGGGATTTCATGCTAAGTTGCAACAAATTTGTTTTGTATAGCTGATTTGGGCAAATGTAATCACCAAATTTGCACGTAAGATGATGTTTAGGAATTACCTTCCTGTTTTCTGAGAATGGATGTGTTACCCTATAATTTCTTCTATTGCAAAGTAGTGCTTGGTTGTACAAATGTGTGATACATCAAATGCAATTATGCCACATGTCACAGAATAATTACATGGGCTAATTTTGTATATGCTTTAAAGTTTAAAGTTTTTGTTGGTCACTGCCACGTAACAACAGACTACAGATTTAAGTCAAGCTTGAACAGATATACAACTCTACAGATTTTGCTGTGGTGATCAGAAGCATTGTTGAAATTCTAGTTTTGTCCCAAGTAAACAAGAAAAAGATATCATGAATGAGAAATATTTTTATTCTTTTTAAAAATTACTGTATAGTTCAAAAGTTGGTAATGGGATTGGCAGAATAGCGAAGTTAAAGCGCGCCTGAAAGTAAACTGAAAACAGTTTCTCTTTTTACCTTCCTCCCAAGTCTAAGCTGTAGCTATCAGTGTTCTTCTGCAGATCCTGATGAGCTCTGAGCCAGAGTATGTAAACACTGGCCATGCCATTACCCTGTTGTCAGGGTCACCACTGTGCTGGAGAAGCCCAGGTTGTGCTGGTCTGTTAGGCTTTCATTGTAGTGTAAATTGTTGAACTATGCTGAGCAAGCAGCCTTTTGTGGGAAATCAGGGCTTTCAGCATCTCCCATGAAAAGTGAAATGCTCTGCAATGAATAGACCTCTGTAGCAGTTGAAGCAATTATGGCATTACCTGAAAGAGAAAAAAATTTTTCCTATCAATTGTACATGTTAAGTTTGTACACTTTCTGTTCTTACGTTCATTGTGGCTCTTCTAAATCAACTTTCTTGACTTGTGATTTTCTTCTTATTTTTGCAAGATGCTTATTTACATTCTCTCAAGAACAAGATTATAGTGAAAGTTAGAATTCTCTTGGCATTCAAGTCAATGACAAACATTCAGACGCCATTTCCTCCCACGTTGCTCTGGATTGTTTAGCTCCACTCTCTAGAGGTGTATAGGTCCTGTTCTTCTCTAGACAGACATTTCACACCTTTATCCCCCACAAACATACTGTCATCCTACACTTTCAGAATGGCAGATTTTTAAGCTTGTGTAGCGCTGTTTCCTAAAATAAAGGTTCCAAGATGTCTGGTGAAATCTTGGCATAAGTTTTTAGCAGATGTTGCCATTGCTCTTGGAATACTTTTTGGAATACTTTGTGAAGGTATATATTTGAACAGAGCTAACTGGATAATTAAGACATTCTTTTTTGCTTTTCTTGAGATTCTCTTCACGTAACCTGCAGTCATAAAGTGCAGGAAGTGATTTTTGTGTGTTTTTGAAGAACAGAATTTAATGTTGCATTTCTGTGTAGATGAACTACAACAGCTTGCATTTTAAGTATTCTTGAGTGACTCAGATGTACATTATGAAAAGCTGTATGGATGCAAAAATATTTTGTTTGCTTCATAGTTTTGAAGAAACCGTAAAGCACACATCTGTACATATGAGTCAACAAAAGCCACTTTCTAGGCTGTTAGTCTTTTCATCTGATACTGTTCTTCCCCCTGTGTTTTGACTTGCTCTATGTATGTATATAGAGAGAAATCTTTTTTTGTTTTAATTGCAGTCGGAAAAGGTGATGGCAAAACAGATGGAGTTTCTTTGCAACCAGGCAGCGTTAGAGAGACGTCTTTCCACAGGGTGTTACAGGCAGAACTCAGAAGAGCACAGCCCCAATGGCATGTCATTAGATAATGCTGATGGACAAGGTATGGTAGCTCCCAGGCACGGCATTGCTGCCAGCAAAGACATTTGATGTTATGCAACCTCTGTCGGTGGCGGTGTTTATCTCATACAGAACCCTGAGCACTGAACGGACAAGACAAGATCTCTCTCTGCCCTGAAGTGCTTATGGTGTAAATAATGCAATCAGATGTACACTCAGGTTCTGTTCTCTTGCTCCTGTGCATCTGGGCAAACTGATTTCCCCAGCAATAACGTGGGGAGGGAAGGAGGCTGGGCACAGCTGCTGTTCTTGAGAGCAGGACTTTGCTCTAGCTTTATCCTCAGTTTTGAAAATATATGAGAGTATTGCATTTCATTTGTTTTCTTGTTTTGTGGAAATTGAAAATTAAACAAGCAATATGATTGGTACCCCTTTTTGTTTACCTGTTTGTGCAGTCTAGGAACAAAACCTGAGGAGCTGGCTATGTAAATTACTTAGCGCTAAGCAGATTCTAATGATGTTCTTAGTACTCTGTTATTCTTCAAAAAGCTTACAGTTCTGTGGTTCTCTTTGATTTACCAACTGGCTATTCCTTGTCTTGAATTAATTTTTGGAGTGTTTGTTTTGTTTGAGCATTTCTGTTTGGATCACTTTTTTTACTGTTTTGAAATGAGACAAAATGTTACAAACAAAAGAAATACAACCAGAAGTTCTTGTGTCTGTTTTTTAAGTGCTAGGTTTTGGTTTTTTAAGGGGGTTGAAAAGAAGCAGTAGGGGGACTGCTAAGGGAATCAATACAAGTAAGCATTAAAATCCAGATTTTCACTTGTGTGTATTGGTCAAGCAATGAGATACAGAAGTAATCATGAAGAATAGGTGTGTGGATCCAGCTTTCCTTGGCCCAGCAAGCTGCTTTATACCATTTAGCCATTGTGCAGGGGAACTGAAAATTTCAGGATCTCAAAGGGATTGTGCAGTGGGAGAAGAAAATTTTTGTATCTCAAGAGGATTTTTGAGCAGAATAAAGTGGGTCTCTAAAAAATAATTAATTTTGTTTTGTCTGGCTGAGTGTCCCTTTCTAACTGTGTCAGTGAAGTAGTCTGCAAAGCAGTACATTTACATAAGCCTTGTTTTACTGGAAAACATCACTGAGCAGCTGGAATGGAATCTAGAATGCACTTTTGCTGATAGAATTAATATGTGTTTAACTCTCTATCTGCTTTTTAATACTGCTTTTTTTCTAATGCATCGATGTTTTGCTGTGAACAACTTGCAGGTGAAAGACCACTGAACCTCCGAATGTCCAACCTGCCAAGCAGACAGATGCAGCACATTTCACTTGATGGAGAGCAGCACGTTGGGAAATCTCTGTGCAGTGATTTGATCCGGCTTTACCCCAGTGGTGAGGCAAAGTCTCAGTCCTCGGGTTAGTGCTGCCCCTGAGAAATCACCCAGCATTTCTTATTTTCTGTCATGTCTCTGAGTGCAGCAGCCAGGAAGACGGGCTGGCATGCATTGCATGTAACCATGCCATAGAAGTTTTGGAGAAAACCCTAAAAGGAGTGTTACTTGCTAATCTGGAGTCAGATTGAATATTATTTGAGAAAAGTTTAGAGGATGCAGTAGCTGGAATCAGATAACCAAGTTCTGGCGTGTTTCTTTACTTGGTATTGACCCGGATTACTGCTGTTAAATACTTAAACTGCATCACAGTGACAGCAACATGATTGTGACATGGCTTCATTCTGTGTAATAAAATCAGGCTTTTTAGTAAAAAAGATGTCTTTATTCTGATTTATAAGGACCTAGCACTGTTTCTCTGCTGTGAGCTGCATGTCATGCAGTAAGTTTATCGTACCTGGGTTTCTCATTCACTGACCTCTGCTCACTGCCAGTCTTGTCATTTACCTCTGGCATTGGGAGAAACCCACTCTAAGTTCAATAAAAGAGAGCAAGAAACCTTTGTGAAATCTCCGTGGGTGGTTTCAGTTTAATACTCAGTGCACTGAGATAAAACCAGGGGCTCTTGAGACTCTTGCAACTTCAGGAGTAATAATAAAATCCCACCTGAGTTTGAAAGTTGCAGTGGGAAAGATACAAAAAGAAAGGCAAGGTACAAAAGTAGTTGTTTTGAAGACCAGGCAGAATCTTGTCTTTTGCACTTTGGGGTACTGCAGTCTTGGCTCATCTCTTTTGCAGATTGACCCAAAATCCCAGTGCTAATTCACTTAGTGAAATCTCTAGTAAGGGATTTTTACCCATTCCCTCTCAAAATGCAAGTGCAGAGTGCATCTCCATTAGCCCCTGCTGCCAGAGGGGTTTGAAATGTATCTGTGATGCTTCCTCTGTTATCATGCAGTGTAACTGAGGTGGTTCTAACCTAGCTGGGTTAAAGCCCAGAGGGGGAGGCAGAATTTATTTCTTCAACTGTTGGTATTCATATGGTTCTTGGACATTTTTTTGATTTAAGAACAAAATATATTTGTTTCCAAGCAGTATTTTAACTTCTTTCTTTCTTTCTTTTCTCAATGCAGAAGGCCTTGGTATTTTAAAGGATTTTCCTCATTCCGCTTTTAACAACATTGAAAGGAAGGTCATAAAAACAGAACCTGAAGACACAAGATAGTCATTCTGCTCTGGAAAACAGTGTCATAGTAAAGAATGAAACTTCACAAGAGAAAAAAAAAAACAGCCTTAATAACCAGTGTTGCCTCATTCAAATAAGAGATTTCAATAGCCAAAGCCTAAGAACTGGTACAGTAATCCTTGGAAACAGGAAAGCAAGAGACACTGCAACTAAAACAGTAATACAGGTGGATAAACATTCCTGTAAAAGTGGTTTTATAAAGTGGGAAGATTCACAAATTAATATTGTGGGTCTTCATTATTTAAGAATGTATTATGTATTTGTATAACTTATCAAAGTAAATCTAGATGTCGGGACGTGTATTGAGTCCAGTAGATGTGGCTACAGTTCATTTTACTTGAAATTTCAATGTCTTCTTTCAGTGTACCTAGCGTAGATATGGTTGTTAAACATTTGAATTAAAAATCATTGGAGAATTAGGAATGCAAACCTCGTGACACAATTAACAGCAAGTTTGCAACAATATTTGTAGAAAAAGGAAAATGCTTACAATATTTTCATGGTTTAAAATGTTATGTGGATATAGCATTTGATAGACCTAGACCCTGATTCTGTATTATAGCAGATGTACTTGACACTTAACTATCGCTACATCACTTCCAATGGTTTCAGCAGCCTTTGTGTAACACACAGCATAATACCTACATACAGGTCAGGAGTGTGGGAAATGCCAGTTGGAGGATGGAAGAGTCCATATGGTTGGCTCCCATTTCCTCAGGAAAAACTGGGGATTGATGTACCATACAATTACTAAATTTCATTTGGTAGGAAACTCAAGAGACCAAGTAGTATGGACAGGGCTGCAGAAGTTGTCATTCAGACAGTTATAACTTCTTGGACTTCTCTGTGGATCTGTAATTAAAAAAAAAAAAAAAAAGGCATCCCAAGTGTGGCAGAGAAGAGAAGATGAGATATGGTGCAGGATTTATGCATCGGTGTAAAAGGTTGCACTTGATATATCCAGAAACCATAAGATTTTTTGGAGGAGAGAGACAAGGAGTTCTCTTCAGCACGTAACTCCTTAGTAAGTGCTGTCCAGCCCACATGATTCTATGAATATACTGTATACTGCATACAGTATGCCAATATGTTTCTTTATGTATGTGATTAATTAACATCTGTATTCTTTATTTATTTGACAGTTTTTATTTTTTGTACATGTTCACTTTTGAAGATGTCATTTTATCTAAGGAGGAGTCGTTGGCATATAACTTTGGAATTTACCATGGTGTGTTTGTGTGCATCCATCTTTCCTCTGTGCTGCTCTGCAGTCAGGACAGTTATATGCCTCCATTTCCAAATACAGTTTTTACTTACAACGTGTTCTGGAGAGGAAAGGGAGAGCTGAAGAAAGTGAGTTACCATGTCAGAGGGTAAACTTCCTTATTCAGGTGTGCACTTCATGTCTGCAGTTTGCTCTGTGTCCTAGGTGTGTATTAATGAATCAGTCAGTCTCTGTTGTACTGAAACACTCAGCAAAATGTGAGCTGAAATGTCTACACTGCAGTCTCTTATCACTGTAAACATATCTAATTATTTTATCACTTGATTTGTGGAACAAAGCTTTATAGTAGAAACACCAGTAAAACAACTTTTTATACTATTAAAATGTTTGTTTTTTTAAAAAAAAAATGTTTCTTGAACTGTATGGTACTGTTTCACTTACTGAAGTATCTTACTTTAAGCAATGGAGTTCACAGCTTTGCTGTTTAGGCATAAGAGATTGAATGTGTAGTTATATTTCCTCTTTCCTGTTGTGTGAGTTAGTAGCACGGATGTTTCTTCAGTTTGTAACATTAACCAGTGCCCTGGTTAGTAGCTGAGTAGCTTTCATGAGATGTGTATGGAACTTGTTAAAGGACAGCTTAAGGTTTGAACTGTACAGCTTGAGCAATACAAGGTACCAAGCAGCAAACCTTTAGAGATGCAGGAAACATTTGGTTTTATCCAACATCTGACACCATCAAAAATTGTGTGTGGGTCACAGAAGAAGCTCTTAAGCTTGCTGGTCTCTTCAGTTGAAGTGAGAGGAAGGAAAAAGAACATGCTAAGCAGCACGCTGTTTCAGTTGAGTCCAGAATTTATTTTGTAAACACTAATGTATTAAATTTGCTATAAATTAAAGTCTATAACAGTTATATTTTTGAGTTGTAAATACAGTACTTTGTGTCACGATCAGTTGGTTATCTCCAGAATGATATTTCAGTTTCAAGTCCAACAGGCCATTTCAGTCTCAATAAGCTGGAAGCAATTTTTTTTACCGGTTTGCAGCTGTATGGGGTTTTTTTTGTTTGTTTTTTGTTTTTTTATCCTGGGGTGGGGGAGGTGGGAGGTACATTCCAAGATTGCACATATGCTTGGTAATAGCAAACACTCAAGCATTGGTCTTTCCATGACAAAGGTCTTGGTGGACTGCACCCTGGCCAGCCTCTGGAGTCGCAGGTAAAGGCTTGCCCTCGTCAGCTCGGGAAGGGTTGCTAGATCCAGGGTACTCCGGATCAAAGGCCAGCCCTGCAAATGATGCCTGTTTTATTCACATGTTTATATTGTTGCTTACAAAATAAAATTCACCGTGAGAACTCTTTAGTTTCCCCAGGGTTTGTCCTTTTTGGTTTTTTATAATTGTGTTTTCTAAAAGAAGATGTTAATTTGGGAGGAGGGGATAGGGGAGGAGGGAGTACCTCGAACTGCAGCTCTCAGTGTGGAGGAAGCCTTTTCCTCCTCTTGTGGTTGAATCCTCATTTAAGGGTGGCCTCATTATGTGCACAGCCTGCAGGGCTCAGAGGCCCCAGGCAGGAGGGAGGAACTAAAACCCAGGCAGTGTCTGCAGCGCTCAATTCCCTTCCCATCTCCTGCTTTTGTGCACAGTTTACACAGGGCTGCAAACGGCGCAGGGCTGCTCGGGTGCGATGCCAGGCCGGTGTAAGTGCTCGTAGGGAATGGGGCAGCCTTGGTGCCCCACCCTGTTCCAGCTTGCTTTCTAAGCAGCAGCCCACATCTCTGCTGGGAGGTTGTTAGGGTGCAGAAACTGGATGGGAGATGGAGTATAAAGAGGGAAAAGCAGACAAGGGAGTAAAAGCATCAAAGAGCAGTCAGGGGGACAGGAGATAGAACCCCTCCATAAACCTCCAAAACAGATTGGTGAGATGGCATGGAAGTCAGGAGTGGTTTGAAGCAGAGATGGAGTCAGAGTAGGTGCAGTCCCTCTGCCTTCTCCCAGTCCAGAGGAGAGTAAACATGGGAATTCTGAACTAGTGGCTCAGTGTTTGCTGGCTTTTACCTTGCACTTCAATGCAATCTTGCCCTATTCTGGGAAAGAGGAGAAGAGAGCAGCTGCACTCTCTTGTGTTGAAGGTGCAAGGACGGGGGAGAACAGCCACATTATTGGCAGGCTGCACACAAGTATAACCAGAAAACCTTTAGATGTCTATTTTTTCTAACTTGCTGTGGCTGCCCAAAGTTCAGTAAGAGCACTGTGCTGCTGGAGCCCACAGGTTTGCTTTAGGCTGGCCCAAGTCTGTCTCATCAAGCTGTGACATCCTTGGTTGGAAAGCACTGTTGGATAGAACAACTTACACAAGGGTCATTAACATTCATTTGAAGCTTCAGGAGATTTCACATACAGCCAAAATTTAAATTTTTCCTGCTACCTGCCTAAAGCTCCTGTGTCTTTTTCTAAATGAGCAGTTGATATGAGGGTCAGCCAGGAGGGCCTTTGCCTGTGGCTGGGCCTTCACTCATGGTGATGCAATGACTTTGCCCACAATAACAGCTGCAGAGCTCAATTTCCTCCCCATTTTCCTGTCAGAATATACAGAGAACTCATACACACCACCAGCATCAGACCTGAGGGAAGCATATCAGCAGCCCCTCATTAAAGTGGGAAGGTTGGTGTTGTGGCACTTGGGATTTGGTAACTCTGGCTTGGAGCAGGGCTCCCCAGGCCCTGAGGAGAGCACAGCACGCTCAGTGCACCCTGCTCTGCTCATTCTCTTGAGTCTGGAGCCATTTGCCAGCTTGAACAAGCAGCGTTATTCCAGGCCCCTTCATGCTGGCATCAGGATGTGTTTTTGGGGTGCCAGCTGGCAGAAGGGGGGGTGTCTGCCCCTCCAGACATGCTCCCAACCAGGGCTAGCAGGGCTCGTGCTGTTCTCAGCCCTGAGCTGGGGTGCAACTGGGTCGCACTGTGGAACTTGCTGGCTGTCTCCTTAAGCAGGAAAATGAGGAGAAATGCCATGAGGCTCTTTTGTGCTGTACAGAAGGGTTGAAAAGATGTTGTGCTGCAGTGATTCAGTGGGGAAAGGATAAATCCCTCACATACACCTACGCACCACCACGAGAAAGAACTCCGTGGGCAGAGAAGGAGCAGAACATGAAATATGAATTTCCTCGAGCTGCTCAGGAGGGATGGCTTTCCAGAGCCCTTCCCCCGGTGGCTCTTGGCTCCCCCTGCCTGGCTGTGCCGGGATGAAGGCCCCAGGTGGGGCTGCTTGCCCTGCCCATCACCTGCAGCTGCAGCCCTGGGCAAGGGCGAGGCCCCTTCAAACGTGTTTTTGGGCTGTGGCGCTCACCCCAGGACAGGGCTCCAGCTCACTGGCCGTGCCTGGGTGAGCTGGCAGTGCTTCAGGGCTGAGGGGGATGGAGGAGGTGCTTCCCACTGTGGGAAAGCTTGGGAAGCCCTCAAGTAGGCTACTACCAAATCTTTGGGTCATCAGATGGTGCTCTAGACACCTGCTGTCTCCAAAACCACCACTCAGCCTGATTGCTGATGCTCCTGTCTCCCTGTTCTTTGGGTAAGTGCGCAACAAATACTGCTTTTGACCATTTAAAAGAAAAATATTTGGAGGCCTTCAAATGATATTTGTTTGAGGTACGCACTGTCTGTGACAGGTGCTGGTGAGGCAGGGGCCATGTGGAGCCTGGGGCACATACTGTCTCTGGAGAAGCCATGGCAGCAAAGGTAATCACTGCTGGTTTGGGCAGAATTAATTTACATTGCAAGAGGTTTTATTCAATTCTATTTGCTTTCTTAAGTATTTTCTATTACGTCTCAGTAAATTTGAATTCCTCCTATGTCTATGGAGCGTATGGGGATGCAGTTAATTTCCTATTACCTTGGGGATTTCAGACAGCTTCATTCTCAAAGCTATTTAGAAAATTATTTAATCACCTTGGAAAATCCAAGCCAAAAGATCTTGTGTTTACTTATTACTCGGTTGTAAATTTGTGATGCAAAACATAGCAGTACTGGGTTGTAACACTGCACATAAGCCTCCATTGAAACCCAGTGCCAAAATTTAAAAAAAAAAAAAACTAAAAAACACATTAACTCTCTGCGTGCAGTGACACGAATACAGATGAATTTTTGCATCACAAGGTTGGGCAGGAATTTCCGAGGTTTCTGCGGAGCCGAGTAACCCCGCAGATGCAGGGTAGCTCGTTGTGACACACTGAATTAGGATGCGATCATATTTACGCATTTTGAAACCCCGTAATGACTCATCCCCATGCCGTTAGAAGCTTGCTCTTGGTAAATGTGTGTTTGGCTGCTGTGAAGGGGCCATGTGAACGCCCACAGGACCTGGGGAAGGCAGCCCTTCCTCCCGCCGCCTCCGGCGGGCAGGGAATGGAGGCAGGGATGCTGCTCGGCAGTGGGTGCCTGCCTGAGACCTCCATTCTCCTCCCACTGGTCCCCAAAATGGGATTTGCATGGACACGAAGCCACAGCCAGAGGGGCCCTTAGGTTTGGCATTGCCATACAAAGAGGTGTGAGCTGGTGCCACCCTTAATACAGAAATACTGGGGGAGACATTCTTGTGTTTGGTGGGGACCTGTTGAAGTCACCCATCTCTGTGCTTGGTGCCACAGTTTGCTGGACTTGACACGTGGATAGGAGCCGCCTTATTTTTACAGGACAAAATCCAGCTTTTCCCCTACACACTGGGTGTCTGCTGAGCCCGGCAGGGGGTGAGCCTGGTCACCACCCTTGGCCTGGAGGTGACGTGGGTTCCCACTGGTTTTGGTGGAGCAGTGTCAGCCCGACGCCCACGCGGCAGCCTCGGGATCCGCCTCGCGCTCATTCAGGAGCTGCAGCTTCTCCGCCACGCACAGACTGAGCTCAGAGCATCCTTCTCGTATCTCCCCTCCCTGGCTCACTTCCAGCCTCTCCGCGTGCGCCCGGTTATTACTGTAGCATCCAGCATGTTTTACTTCATATTCATCTCTCTTGCACATACCGGCCCACTCATGTATTAGATCCGAATCCTTTTTTTTTTTTTTCCTGTTCCCTTTTTTTTTTCCGGCTTGTTGCTCTTCAGAGCGGCGAGGCACGACACGCTGCGTGTTGTGACACAGCCTGACAGGTCTCGGCGGCACGGCACGCTCGGCTTGGAGCTGCCATCTCCATCCGCTGTGTCCTGTTTTCCCTGTGGCAGGACCGACTGGTTCCCTGTAGCAGCAGAGGGGAGGGTTGGATGCTATGGGTGGTGATGGCACCAAAGGTGTCTTGGCTTTTAACCTGCCTCTTTGCCAAAGCAGGGGAAAGGCAAGGAAAAACCCAGCCGCTCGATATTACCAAAGCCTTGCCTGCTCTCTTCTTGGATGATGTTTTGGCCTTTCATTCTCACAGGTGGTGGTGGCTGTGTTAGCTGAAGGTGGCTCCACAGGGCTGGCTGGGGCTGTGCTGGATTCCCTCCTGCTTTGGTAGCACTGGCAGGTGAAGTGCCAGAAACAGTGTGAGTACAGAGTTTTCAAATGATTTTGTGTGTTAGGCATGTGGCCAGTTTTGAAGGGCTTGTCACTGTTCTCCTCAGAAGGATAAGAAAAGCTTTTGAAGCTTGGTAGGAACAAAGAATTGCGAATGGGAAGGAGAATGGAGCGTATCTTACCAAGGAGCTGCTGTGAGTGGCTGGGGAAGGCAGCACTGCTGCACGGCTGCATTTTCTCAAATCTTGCTTTTTGATTTGCTGATTTTCCTCTTCTGAAGTGACCTAATCAAAAGGATAAAACTAATTCTGCTGGCTGGTGGAGTCTGGGTTTTATTTAAATCTGTGGATGAAAAAAGATTGATATTCAAAGTAGCCATCTTGAAGTATGCATCCAGTGCAGGAGATCCCTGATGTAAGCTGTGTATGTTTTAATTATGAGACAGAGGAGAATTCATGTCAGCACTTGAAACCAAGCTTACATCTCAACCTCATGCAAGCATCTTTCTCTTGGTTTCCAAAGCACCCACCTGGGTGTCAGTGGACTGGGGCCCCAAAGGCAGTAGGTTTATTCCCTCAAGTAGAGATGAGCTGGCCTGGAGGGCAGGTGACATTGTGAATTGCTTTGTTGGCTCCCCACTCGTGGCAGCTCTTTCATCTCACCCTTTGTTGTGCCCAGCAGTGGCCAGACAGCACTGTGTCTCAGACTGGACACTTGCTGAGGTGGATTTGTTTGTTTTCTATCCATTTCCATGCCTTTGGAGGCAATGAAGAGGATTGATGTGAGCTCCACTGACAAGACATATTGGGATTTTAAGAGAGACAGGACCACTAGGAGAAAATAAAAGCATGATTTATTATTCTTCTACAGTCTCATGAAGGTGTGAGAACACCTTCACCATGTTTGCCAGGTGTTCGTGGTCAGTGGTCACAAGACCACAGGTTAGAAGGTCTTTTAAAGGTTAATTAGCCAATAAACTTCTGACACAAAAGAATGTTTTTACTTTCACACCAATAGTTCATTATTTTGTTTTACACCTCTTCGCCGCAGTGTGGATTTTCTTAGCCAGTCATATAATGATACACAAAACTATTTGCTACACTTTAAGACTTCTTATTACCTTTATAACTACTTCTACGTCTTCACTTTAAAACTTTCTACTACCTAGCTTAATGTCTTTCTGTCTAAACTACAAACCCACATTCTTGCCCATGGTTTCTAAATCCTTCTGAATCTAAAGGCAGAAGCCTTTTCCAAGGTCTCAGGTTGAATCCTGTCTTCATGTCTGTGTTTAAGCCTCCATGCACAGGACTTTGAGGATTTTCTTTGCTTGGAATTCCCACAGAGACAGAGCCAGTGAAGCAGGTGGCAAGCTGGCATTGGGTGCAGGGAAGAAAAGAGCCTGTAAACCCAACTGAAAGGCTTTTAATTAAAACAAAAGATTAGATCAACAAGGTATTACAACAGGTGGTTAAATCCTGCGGCTAAACAGTCCAGGCTTTGTTCTCTGAGTCTGATGCATGAAGAGAAACTTTCTACAGGGCAAACGAGGGATCCTGAATGCGTGGCATTAAATGTTTATTACAGGTAACACAGCAAAACTGGCCCCTGCGCTTCACAGGGAGAGAGCAGAGACATGTAAATGCACAGCTCACACCGACAGGGCCTCTCCAATGGTGTCAAAAGTTTGTGTTCCCATGGGATGGCAAAAGGCTGATTTGGTTGGCTGTGGCTGTGCTGGAGCTTTTTGCAGCCCGTGCACGCAGGAGGTGTGTGCTGCTGGCAGGGGACACCGAGGGACCGACACTGCCTGTTTTCCTTGTGTCCTGCCCCTGTCTGGCAGCAAGGCTGGCACAGCCATCACTCCCCCTGCTCTACACCCTCTTTGTTAAATTAACAGGACATGTTTTGCTCCTCCTGGGCTGTGGTATTTGCAAATAAATAATAAACATGGGCAGCCATGCTGGGGAGGGGGCTGGATGTGTCACCTGCTGCTGACACAACCCCCATGAGGTTCGACTGAAGTGCCTGCCAGAGGTGCCTTGTTTTCTGTGGATGAGCTACACCTTGGCTTTCAGAACCCTTGCACCATATTTCAGACTCCTAATCTCCTAAATCTCAGGACATTCACCTGATGGAATGAGTCCAGAGGAGAGCTACAAATGTGGTCAAAAGGCTGGACCACCTCGCCAGTGAAGATGGGCTGAGCCAGTTGAGCCTGGAAAAGAGGAAGCATTGAGAAGACTTCATAGCAGCCTTTCAGTGCCTAAAGAAGGCCTGCAAGAGAGCTAAAGAGGGACTGTTGGCAAGGGCACGTAGTGACAGGACAAGGGGTAACAGCTTCAAACTGACAGAGGGCGGGTTTAGATTAGTTATTAGGAAGGAATTGTTCCCTGTGAGGGTGATGAGGCCCTGGCACAGGCTGCCTGGAGAAGCTGTGAGTGTCCCATCCCTGGAAGCTTTCAAGACTGTGCTGCATGGGGCCCTGCAGGGGATGAGGCTGGTGCAATGGGGATGTGCCCTCACTGCATTCCTGAAGGCATTCCTGACACTGCCTGTGAGTCCTCACTGTTGTGCCTCAGCATCAGCACCTGAGGAAACAGGTGAGTGTTCTGCCTGCTCTCACAAACACAAATTATACCAGCAAAAAGAATCCCTATTCAGAATTGCCAGAATTTTCCTTTTAATTAAGGCTGGGAGGAAAAACTAAAAACGAAGAGACCCACCGCTGTTCTGTTTGGTTGCTTTGCTCTAGTCTGCATTCAACAGGATCTGGGGGAATAACTGTCTTCCTGAAAGACAACCTTTAATCAGAAAGGAAATCAAAACCCTCATTAAAATGTTCCAAAGGGTGGAATTGGATTACCTATGGCTGCACACCAGGAAGAAAAACCCCAAGCTATCATCTGATGCTTTTGAAACCTCGGCTGAGACACCATTTTAGGAGGCAGGTGAGTATGGCAGGTCCCAGAGCAGTGATGCAGCTCTCCCACAGAGTGGGTACTGCAGGCACAGACCCAGCCTGGAGCGTCACTGCCAGCGCAGGAGCCCTGGGAAGCGGTGCTGTTCCGCGCCTCGGCACCGCCTGCTATTTTTTGCAGAATGAGGAAAACACTCTTGCCTGACCTGGGGGCTCCTTCCCCCTGGGAGAGCACAGATGGTCTCCTGGTGAAGGTGTGGGCCTGGAAATTGGGAGCTCTGGATGCCTTTCCCGGCTACATCAGAAACTTGCTATGTGGCACCACCTACTTCTGCGCCCACGTTTCCTCCTACTCCTTCTCTCTCGCTCGCCGCTTTTTCCAGACCTTTCACCTCGCTGCTCGAATGTGTTTTTCCTTTTGCAGAGTGCTTTTCTCAGACTCCAAAGCCTCCTGGTGCGCTGTCACCAGTACCTGGACCAGACACCCACTCCTGCCCAGGCTGCTTCTCACTCTTCACCCTTCCCATCAATCCTCCCTTCCCCCTGTAGTGCTGCTGCTGTTTGATGTCTCCTCCTGACACTGCTCGTGGCCAGAATTCTCCCTGCTCTTCTCTACAAGCACCATTCCCAGTTTTCTGCAGGCAGAGTGCTTGGAGGCAGAGCTGAGGTGGGTGCTGAGGGCAGAGCCAGCAGCAGGCAGGCTGGAGCCCCTGCTTGGGCAAGCCTGCTGGCAGGAGTGCTGGGAAATCGATGGATGTGACTCAGAGCCCAGCAGCCTGACTCAGCCTGGGTTCTCTGCTCTGGACTGAATGAAACCCTCAGAGCTGGGTCCTGCTCGTTCTCTTGGCTGCATTTGTCCCGAGGCTCTGGGTTTTGCTGTAATTTGTTGCTTCAAGGTGATGTTCCCCATTTTGGGCTGGAAGCATGGAGAAGGCACTGCCTAGCTAACAAGCCTGGGACAGGTTTTTTCTTCCTTAAAGATGATCTGCATGACATGACACTGTGCATCCCCTCCCCAAAGGCACTTTGCAAGGGCTTTGTTCTCTGTACTCTATCCAAGCTGTGGCTGTTGATGTCAATTGATATTGAGTGACTGATCACAACACATTGGTTATTTATTGTGCATCAAAAGGATGAGATGCCCACTCCTAAGTCAAAACATCTGCAGGATTTCTAAAGCCAGATCTACTCTGGGCTGCCAGGCATGTGTTGCTGCTCCTGGTCACCCAAGGGCTGCATCAAGGTAGTGAGCCATGGTTAGCAGTGCCCGGATCTCAGTGGTGTCAAACCCTTCAGCAGCATCCTTGGCAGCTGCTGTTACGGCTCACTGCCCAGAGCGAGCACCAGGGTTTCACTGCTGTTCCCACTCAGGATGAGATTTGGGATGACACTCAGGCTTTCTCCAACCCATGTTAATGCATCTTGTGTGCTTTGGAGAGCTCTGCTCCAACAGCCCCATCCCTCAAGGTTCCCCTTGATCAGGTTCTACCTTGGGCACACACAGCAGTGGCTCTGACTTCAAATCCCAGCAGAAGCCTCCCCTTGATGGAATGAGAGTGGATCTGCTGGGGCAGCAGCCCAGTTAATTGGGCATTTCAGTGGTGGGAATGCAGTAGATGCTACAGTCCTGGTCTCCAGCCAGGCTTTTGGTAGGCAGACTCATGGAGGAGCTAGCAGGGTGTCATCTGCATCCAAATGTCCAGGGAGTCTGAGAACCCCAGAGGTCCACTCCAAATAGGAGTGTGCTTAAGATTGGAGGCCAGAGGCATTTCTTCCCTTCAAAACACCAGGGTGAGGAAAACCAGCTCACCTAGTCTGCAGAGAAAAGCTGGGGGTGAAGGGAAAAAGCAATGCCAGCAGGATAAAGGGATGCCAGGATACAACTCTCAAACCTATGGTTCACAGCTTTCATTTTTGTGGAGCAGCCCAAAGGTGGGACAAGCCTGGGAGTGAGGTCTGAAGCTGGTGGCATCCCCACACACTGCAGAAGGGCAGGGAGAGTGGAGCAGCTTGGGAATGTGTAGCAAAGCAAAAGGTGAACCACAGGACTGGTTGAAAATATCTCTACTTTTCATAACCTGGTAATCCGTCTTGCATGTAAATTAGATG